TACTTGTGATTTTTCTTGACTTGTTGCGGATTTCTTATACGAGAGAATGTCTTCCCGCTTTTGGACCCAGGTAATATTGTAATGTAATTTTGGGTTTCTTCTATATTTAGAGTGAAATCTTAAAAGCAGTGTTTCTTAATTTCTTGCATTTATTTTTGCTTCTTGTGTTATTTTAGCCTGGAAGCTCCTCAGAGGAGGAGGAGAGTGACTATGATGAGGAGGTTGAAAATACAGGTGGTGAGGCTACCACTGAACCAGTTGGAAACCGATACCTTGAGGTTAATCAAAGTGACAGCGACGACCCTGATGATGAAAGGCGTGTCGTTAGATCAGCGAAAGACAAACGCTTTGATGAATTGTCGGCAACTGTTCATCAAATGAAGAATGCCATGAATATCAATGACTGGGTTAGCTTGCAAGAGAGCTTTGACAAGATAAATAAGCAACTTGAGAAGGTCATGCGTATTACAGAGGCTGTTAAAGTACCCACTCTATACATAAAAGCGCTTGTATTGTTGGAAGACTTTTTGGCTCAGGCTTTGGCAAACAAGGATGCTAAGAAGAAGATGAGTAGTAGCAACGCCAAGGCCTTGAACTCAATGAAGCAGAAATTGAAGAAGAACAATAAGCAGTATGAGGAATTGATTAATAAGTATAGGGAGAATCCTGAGCAGAGTGACGAGGATAAGGAAGCAGAAGAGGATTCAGAAGACGACGGATCCGTTTCTGAAATTGAGGATCCTACTGATATTGTAATGTCAAATAGTGATGATGATGGGGAAGAAGAAGAAGATGAAAAGGATGACCAAACTGATGAAGGCTGGGAGAAGAAGATGAGTAAGAAAGACAAGCTCATGGATAGGCAATTCATGAAGGACCCAAGCGAGATCACATGGGATACAGTTAACAAGAAATTTAAAGAGGTTGTGGCTGCTCGGGGAAGGAAGGGAACTGGGAGGTTTGAGCAGGTTGAGCAGCTTACCTTCTTGACAAAGGTTGCTAAGACCCCTGCACAGAAGCTGGAGATATTTTTTAGTGTTGTTTCTGCTCAGTTTGATGTGAATCCTGGTCTCAATGGGCACATGCCAATAAATGTCTGGAAGAAGTGCGTGCAGAATATGCAAGTTATACTTGATATTCTTGTGAAGTATCCTAACATTACGGTGGATGATATGGTGGAACCTGATGAGAATGAATCCCAGAAAGGACCAGATTATGATGGGACAATTAGGGTCTGGGGAAACTTGGTGGCCTTCTTAGAAAGGATAGATACTGAGTTTTTCAAGAGCTTGCAGTGCATTGATCCCCATACTCGTGAGTACATTGAAAGACTTAGGGATGAGCCTATGTTTTTGTGTCTAGCTCAAAATGTTCAAGATTATTTAGAACGAGTTGGTAATTACAAAGCTGCTGCCAAGGTAGCCTTAAGGCGGGTCGAACTCATTTATTATAAGCCACAGGAAGTTTATGATGCCATGAGAAAATTGTCCGAGCAGACGGGAGAGAGCGATAATGGTGAAGAGCCTAAAGCGGCTGAGGAAAGTCGCGGTCCATCTCCATTTATTGTAATTCCCGAGCTGGTTCCTCGAAAACCTACCTTTTCAGAGAGTAGCAGGACAATGATGGATATTTTGGTTTCCCTCATATACAAGTATGGCGATGAGAGGACTAAAGTTCGTGCAATGCTTTGTGATATTTACCACCATGCTCTGCGGAATGAGTTTTGCACTGCCCGTGACTTGCTGCTAATGAGTCACCTGCAAGATGTTATTCAGCAGATGGACATTTCGACTCAGATACTTTATAATAGGGCCATGGCACAACTTGGTCTGTGTGCATTTCGTAGTGGATTAATTACTGAAGGGCATAGTTGCCTATCTGAACTATATTCAGGCGGAAGAGTAAAAGAGTTGCTTGCACAAGGTGTTTCACAAAGTAGATATCATGAGAAAACTCCAGAACAGGTATGCCAGTGCTTCTGTTATGTTTTTCCAAGTGGTTATTATTATATATATATTTTTATATTTTATGCTTGTGCGCATCTTACTTTCTAGGAAAATGCTTTAGAACCCAACTCTTTTCCAATTACAGGGAGCACGACCCGTATGATTGTGTGACCAAACCCACGCGAGAGTATTGGGAAAACGTTGGGTAGATCAGGGCTATTTAGCATCATCCTTACTCCCTATATGATCTGAAGCCACTGTTTTGTCCCTGTAAATACCCAACCAAAATTGCACAAGTAGATTATGTGAAAAGAAATATCCACAAGTTTGGAATTTTAGTTTTTTAGGTTTTTGTTGGGTATTTGCAGAACTAGCTGATGGTTATATGTTGACATTGTTCTTCAACAACCAAATAAAGAAGTGATGAAAACGATAGAAGAATCTTAGTCTCCCCAAAACTATTATCAATGAATAGCTGATTAATTCGGAATGTTATATTCTCTGTATTTCTATATGCACCTTGCAATAAGATCTGGGAAGTTGCAACTAGGAGTTGTTAGACCAAGTATGTACCTAGTTGCTTTTCCTGACAAATGTGCATGTGACACTTACTAATATTACCCAATCATTTAAGTTGTATCCTTTTTGGTGACTACTTACGATGTATTTAACCTCTTAGCATTATTATTGCTCCTTTGGAGGAGTTTTTTACCGAACATATCTAGCATAATACTCGTGTAAGATGATGTGTTACGTTAGGTCTGGTCAGGCTGATTAAATGCAGATATAATGTTTGTGGTCTTAACTAACATTGTACCTTCTTTGGGTTTCCTGTTTCTGTGAGTTATAAATTTTATGGTATTTTTGCCTTGTGTGTTATCTGAAATGCCTATGGTGCTGCAATTTTTCAGATTGCAGTGTGGCATCATATTTAAAATTCGTGTGAAACTAACCAATTGAATTTGATAGAACAAGTCAGTGAAATAGTTCAGTTGAGCAAAACAGTTTGAAAAAACATATGGTTTGCATTCTGAAAAGCTGAAACTAATAATAAAGGATGGTTTTGCCACCATGTTGTAGAAAAGGGGACCTAGAAGAGTAAATTAGTTTCTTTTTGGCAGACTCTATAGTATTACTGTTTTAAGTTTACTTTGCCTTCATCCCTGTATTTTATTTTATTTTTTTTGTTCTTTTTGTTTTCAGGAAAGGCTGGAGAGGAGACGACAAATGCCTTACCATATGCATATAAACCCTGAGCTCCTGGAGGCAGTACATTTGATATGTGCCATGCTGCTGGAAGTGCCTAACATGGCAGCTAACATCCATGATGCAAAGCGCAGACTGATCAGTAAGACATTCAGGAGGTTGCTTGAGGTGAGTGAGAAGCAAACATTCACAGGCCCCCCAGAAAATGTAAGGGACCATGTGATGGCAGCTTCCAGGGCACTTGGCAAGGGTGACTTCCAAAAGGCCTTTGATGTCATCAATTCTCTTGATGTTTGGAAGCTCCTCCCGAACCGTGAGAATGTTCTTGAGATGCTCAAGGCTAAGATCAAGGAAGAAGCTCTGAGGACCTACCTTTTCACCTACTCCTCATCCTATAAGACTCTGAGCTTGGAACAACTCACCAAGTTGTTTGACCTTTCAGAGGCCCAGATTCATAGCATTGTTAGCAAGATGATGGTCAATGAAGAGCTCTTTGCAAGTTGGGACCAGCCAACACGTTGCATCGTTTTCCATGGCATTGAGCAGACTAGGTTGCAGGCTCTAGCTTTCCAGTTGACTGAGAAGCTGGCAATCCTTGCAGAAAGTAATGAAAGGGCAACAGAAGCAAGGATAGGTGGTGGTGGGTTAGATCTACCTCAAAGGCGTAGAGACAACCAGGACTATGCTACTGGAACAGCTGGTGGTGGTGGTAGATGGCAGGACAACAACTTGTCCTTCAATCAAGGAAGGCAAGGTGGTGGCAGTGGGCGTGCCGGATACAACACTGGAGGCAGATCATTCAACCAAAATGCTGGTGGTGGGTATTCTAGGGACCGAGCAGGTCAGTACCGAGGCTCAGGGCAAAACTCTCGTTATCAAGATGCTGCATATGCCGGATCAGGGAGGACTGGCTATCAGACTGGTTCAGCCTCAAGGGGATCTCAGGATACTTCAACTCGCATGGTCAGTCTACATAGGGGGCTTCGTGCCTAAAATAGCATAGTTATTCCCCATTTTGATTAGAGAGCTTCTCTCTTTGGTTTCTGTTGTCAGTTAAATTTTCCCCTCATTAAACCTAGTTTTTTATTGTTTGAATTTATATTTACAGGCTTAAGTTTTGGACCTTTAGACGTTGAGAGTTGGGGTTTTGTATGCTAATACTATGCATTATGGCTATGGATGCATGCAAGCTTTTAATTTATTTGTTGTTTCATAAATTACGTGTGATACTAGTCCATGTTTATGGATGTGGATGCTTCATTTTTATGATTGATCTTGTCTTTCGCAAACTTTATACTTTTAGGTTTTGTGGTTGAACGCAATTTAGAAGCTTTGCTTGTAAGAACATGCTACAGGGTTGATGATCACACCTTCTGCAGGAGAGTAAGAGTAATTGTGACTCGTCAATCATAATGTGCATCACTGCAAATCATTTTTAGTGTTTATCAAATGGCTTTTGTATACGGCCATTGTTCAGTGGCGAAATATGGAGCCTGAAAGGAAGAAGATGAAATTATTTTTCCAGGGACCTGTGATGTTCACTTCTAATGTCCCTTATGCTTGACTGCAATGGTGTCATTGAACTTGCATGTCGAGCTTCTGCCATATCGGATCATGGCCGGATGTTGATGCCTTTAGGGTTCTCTTTGTTTTTGTTCAACCGCCTATTCTCCACATTTCAGAAAAACTGAGTGAGAATTTTCTTGCCTGAATAAAATGCGAGGGAGACTAACTGTATCAATTTGTGCACCATCTCTCTAATAGAGGTGGAGCCTACCAATATAATGGGTCTTATGCTCTATTAGAGAGATAGTACACAAGTTGGTATCTAAAGTTAGTCTCCTTGACATTTTCCTTCACAAAAATGTATTCATCATATACAAAAATACTTACCATCTTCTCCCTGGAACTTCTAATGAATACTTTCCTGTTTCTACGGCTGAAGTTTTCTGTATAACATACCAGCCTGTTGTGTTGTGCATCAAGTTTGAATTCAATTCTCTCATCAATATATTGATATTTTATTACTAATTTATTATATAAATATTGATAATAAAAAAATGGTTATGTGGTGGGACTGGAAGTCGTATCAGAGTAGAAGGTTTTTTTTTGGTCGAAAACAGAGTAGAAGGTAGACATCTCCTTTTAGAGCCATCGCCGGTCAAATTTGAGTAGAAAAACCATTCATGGCTGGGAACCTCGGATGCGTGATCGTGGCCGTTGATGGCAGCGAGGAGAGCATGAACGCCTTGAGCTGGGCCCTCGACAAACTCAAGCTCCGATCCCCTGCCCCCGACTCCACCACCTCCGCAGGCTACTTCGTCATCCTCCACGTCCAATCTCCACCGTCCATCGCCGCCGGCCTCAGCCCCCCCGCCATTCCCTTCGGTGGGCCCAGTTAAGTTCCATCCCTTCCCCCCACAATCCACCGTTTGCATTTGACTCAATGAATTCATAGACTTTTTTTTTGGCGGCCTGAAATTAATGAATTAACTCTCGATAAAATTGGTTTAGGCGATGTGGAGGTGCCTGCGTTCAACGCTGCGATCGAGGCGCACCAGAGGCGAATCACGGAGGCCATAATGGAATACGCTTTGAGGATTTGTTCCGAGAAGAAGGTTAGGGTTTATTCAGGGTTTAAAGCCTGTTGCTTTACTGATAAGACATAAGACCTGATATAATTGGTTTTTCAATTTTTGTTTTGAAAAATGTTATCTTGGTTCTTGGCCCTTGTGGCGTAGGTGAATGTGAAAACCCATGTGGTTGTTGGGGATCCGAAGGAGAAAATTGGTGAAGCTGCTGAGAATTTGCATGCTGATTTGCTTGTCATGGGGTCCAGAGCTTTTGGTCCTCTAAAAAGGTAATTATTTTGTTTCTTTTCAAATTTAATGAAACGACTAAAACTACACATTGGCACCATAATGTTACATAGGAGCCATATAACTAGTCTAGAGCTACTACTTGAACATGGTGGAGCCAAGAGTACTGCTGCAGGAGGGACCTTGAGGTCTTTGAGAACCATAGGCAGTAGGGTTCCAGCTGGGTTATCAAAGGGTCATGGAATAAATGTCTGAGTTCTATCTTGAAAGAAGTTGATGAGCTTGAACACTTCTACAAGGTGTATATGCTATGGAAACTATTTCAGCAAGCTTGTGCTTTCATGTTTCTATGTAATGGACTATCTTTATAGTATTTAGAGTCCTGCCGGCAACATGTTTTCCTTCTTGAGTTGCTACCTTGGATGCACATGCTCCATCCCTCTGACCGTGTCAGATGGGAGGAGTATGAGTTGGTGATAGTAGGCTTGAACTTAAGAGGATTACTTGTTTACTATTAGAGTCTTCGGTTTCTTCTGTTTTCAATATGGGTCATGTAAGCTATTTAGAGATTTACAGCCCAGGAGAAGATAGAGTCACTAGACCCACTACCTCTGTGTAGACCGTAACTTCAATTAGTGAGATAAAAGTATGATTCACGTCCATTCTACTCCTTCGGTTTGCTAAAACATGACAGCATTCACTTTTTGTACTGTGCACACAGGATGTTTCTGGGAAGTGTAAGCAATTATTGCGCTAACCATGTGCAATGTCCAATCATCATCGTCAAGGGAAAGTTGGCTTCCTGATAAGAAAAGGTATGCATCTCAGTATTCTATGACCAATCTCTAGCAGCATTTTCATCCTCATTTGTTTTCCTATAGCATTTCTTTCTTTTAAAAAAAAAAAATAAAAAACTCTTTTTTAATGTTCCATTACTTATAAACTCTTCAAAGCTGTCCATGCTGTGGCAAGATGCTTGCACAGAATGTTTTATCATTGCAATATAATCTTGAACTTTATTCATTATCATTACCCATGCACTGTGCGTGAGGGCATGTGGTTGTGCTCTTGAGCTCTTTTGAGTCTCAACTTGCTCTGGAATCTGGTCAGTCTTAAGTTCCCAAGATGTGTATGTACCATCTGATCAGGTTTAAGGACAAGGTCTATCTTTTCTTTCCTTTAAATCAAATGACTTTGATTCAGACTTTTGCTTCGACTATTTTATTTAATGGAGTGTCACAACATTTATACTCTGGTAGTAGTACATGCTATCAGATTTAAAATGAATTATACTCTGGTAGGACACATTATCAGATTTAAAATGAATTATTCCTACATTTTGACTTAAGCACATGGTGAGTTACCGACCCTAGGTTTTTCATCAATATTCTAATTGGAAGATCCCATGCAGAAGCATATCCATCAAGAGATGGATGGTTTTGGAAAGGTTGACAGATTTATCTAGTTGGGAACCTGGAAACTGAAATATCATAGATGACTCGTATCTCATTAGCCAATTGGTTTCTGAGAGTTTTATTAGAACCTGTGCTCTCTTAAGCTATTAGTCTATCATGGAATGGAGTATCTCCTGTAATTTAAAAGTACATGCAAGTTGCAACGATTATCAACCTAGCTGATTTACTTCAAGATGATCACCCTTGCATCAAGATGGGAGATTGACACCGTAGTAATTAGAGGATAAATGGCACTCTCATGGTGCCTTCTTTGTGGCATTGGGCATGCTAAACCTGTAGAATTCAGGGATTCATGATACATCTTAGATTAAGTTATGTATGGATGATGAATGAGGAAAGTGAATTGTGTGGAATCTGCTATGGCTGTTTCTTGCGTAGGTTTCCCTGCTGGTGTATGGTTATATTCAGCGTTCAACAAGGTTAAATATAGGTTGGATGGTTTAAGCTATGTTTTATTTGAAAGTCATGATTGCAATCCAAATATATTTAGATGCTTATTTGCTTAAATGAGATGACGCTTGTGTGCATTATGGGTCAGTTATTGGTTCTTAAGTACTCTTTGTTACCTGAGGTATTAAGAAGAAAGCTAAAATAAACCTCTGATTTTTATTGGTCATAACTGTGTTTTGATAATAAAGAATTAAAGAAATTCGATGTGAGGTTGGGTTACTTGATTTGTGGCTGCAATTGAACCAAATTTGAATTTGGTTTCTTCCCTTCTCATCTTTTTTCTTCTGTATTCATAAATTCATGACCTATTCAAGACTCTGGTTTTCCATTTGTAGGGATGTTGAGGCATTGAATACTTCATACCAGCTGCTAAGAACCTATTGCAGAGTGAAAATTATTAAATTGTAGAATTAGGATGTAGTGCAATTTGTTTAAATACTTACCAATATTTCTTTCATCAAATTGATGAAATTTCTTAAATACTGTTCAGCATTCTTTTTTTTGTACTGTTACTTTGTAGTAGTACCAAAGTTATATGGTCGTTTTGCGCTCCTTGTGGAACTACAAAGGACTGATGCAGTAATGTTGTATGCTTTTCATAGGCAGAAATCGATGCATATAGGTTGTATTTCACTCTTAGAAGTTCCTATCCCGCTCTTAGAACATGTTTCCCGCCAGAGGTTACTTACCTGATATACAGATTTTCCATTCATTATGAATCATTGTGGTGCTGTTTTTATGCCATACCTCACTTGTTACTTGACATCCTTATTTGTGAAATTATATATGGCTAGTTTTGTCTCTTTGGAACTCATCTATTTTTTTGATCTGTGCTTCAGCTTCAGTTCATCTGTTATCCTGTTGTGCAACTGCTGATCAAGATCAGCTGTTAATATGGAGTGTTTTTGACCAATACTGTTCTTATCTTGAGTGTGCTGTTGCAATCTAAGGTTATTTCTCGACCGTCTTTTATTATCTTTTCACGCTGTGTTAATATTTGGAGGAAATTACAGCAAGATAGTTTTTTTTTTTTTTTTTTTGGTTTCGTTGAAAGGAAAAAAAACTGTGAATATTCAATGTTGTATAGAGTAGCAATAAAGTCAAAGTAACAGAACTGATGTTTTAAGATATGCTGTGGAGTTGCTTTCCTCGAGATGTTATTTACCCTCACCAGTTATATGCTTTCCTTAAGATCTCTGCATTGAGTATTGATGTTGGCAATACTAGAATACGATTTCTTTGAAGTGTTGCAAGCTCGTCAAGAATCCGTGTAGTAACAATACATTGGAGTTTGATGCAAGGGAAAAACAAGAAAAGGAAAATTCTAAATCAGACTTATTTAGTGTTGGGAAATTGCGAAACGGAACAGGAGAGACATTTTGTTTGGATGAATCGGAAATTGCGAAACAGGAGAGAACTGATGTACTCTTACAACATTCTGGCTCTTTTTGTAGATTAGTATGGTCGGATCCTACAACCAAGTAATTCTTTCCTTTATGTACGCTACATGTTTGTCTCTTTCATCGTGCTAGGTTAAGTAATGACCGAGAAAACACGTATACAACTGGTGACTTGCAAGAAAACTCTCAACCAACCTTGCCCATGTCGTATGCATGTACCCTTTGGATCTTTGCACCACAACTAGCGTGGCTCCTTGTGGATTAAGTTTATTCGTAAGGGTCACGAGAGCACCTGTAAACTCAAGATGCCCTACTCTCTCTCAAAAGGGAAATCCAAATCATTGTGCATTCAGTTGGAAATTATTGTAACATCTTGGAGGCTGTGGTCCACCAATGCCCTAAATAAGTGGAATGTTAGTGGTCCTGGGCCTCTTGGCAATTTTACTCTCTTATTTTTTGGTTTGGTCTGTAAAGCAATCTTGTCTTGTGCTCTCTCCTTTATTGTGGCAATCAATTGAACAGTAAAATCTCGTGAGTATGGTGGGCTCTCTCACTGAGTCAGTGTCATTTTAGCCAGCTTCATTTATCCGTTGTTTTTTCTTTCTTTTTCTATTTTATTTTCGGATTTGTACAGCTTTATGCGAAGATGATGCATTAATGGGCTTGTAATTCAAGTGATTAAGAATAATAATTTCCTTTCTCTCAATATCGCTTATTTTAAAATTAAAAAAACTCGCACACCAATCTTCTTACAACCGATGCAGGATATTTAGTGGGCATATAGAATACTGCATAAGGCTAAACCATAAGGTGCAAAATTGGGAATTGAAAGTGAAAAAAAAAAAAAAACTAAAATAGTTTGAATCTCCTATCTTCATTTACGAACCGTTGTGAAATTTTTCAAAGAAAGACTTATGTTTGTGTCAGTCGTCTACGTGATTATTTATACAACAGTTGACAGTTGCCCTCGTGCGTGCCTGACTATTTATATAAAGGAGGCTTTTGTTTTATTTTATTTTAAATTTTTTAAATTTGGGTAAGTGTGAGAAAGCATTAGTAAGGACAAATTCCTGTTGTCTATTGTTTATTGTCTACAACTTGCTCGTTTAGCATGGTTGATTTTGCAATTTGTTAAAGTGGTTTTAAACAAATTGAAGCTTTCACTGTACTTGGGTTGGGTCACGTGCCTGTTTGCCCTTTCCTATCTGTTTTTGGTTTGATTCTCTGCTTACAGTGAAGAATTTGAGAGAGTGGACCCGGTCCATGAGGAGAAGAGAAAGTCTTCTTGAGCCCCGTGACCGACCGGATCCCTGGATCGGCCCATGTACGGACAAGAAACAAAAGATATCTTGAGGTGCTGTCATCCAACTATCTCCACGCCTCCTCCAATCTTGGCTTCTTTAAAATTGAATTACGATTACGAATGAGCTGGAACTCACAATGGGATTCAGACAATACCAAGAATTAATTGCCAAAAAATAATTAATATCCCAAGAATCCATTTAAGTAGGTATGAGACGAGCTGTAAACTCAGACGTTCTAGATTCGAACTCTCACAACCTAGAAAATATTTGAATTTGTATGACATATACGGTTTTGCATGTAACTGCATTTATTCAGAATTTGCGGTCTTTGAATTTACCTTAACACATTATACATGATGAAAGTAGTGACATTCTTTGGACCAATTAGAGCTTGATACTAACTTTGTCATTTATCCACAGGATACACTGACACTCCAACTTGCTCCCTCCTTATTATGAAACGACGCATGGTTTTCATTTTCATCATTTTTGGGTTTATTCTTAGCCCTGGTCCCATATCTTAGCTACTTTTTCACATGCTTCCATCTCCATTGTAAAATATCACAAAACCAACTATTATCCAAGTCTTTCTCATATAGGATATAACCTATAAATTCTCAACTGCCAATAATTCCATGTGTGCCTACAATAATTTCACTCCACCTATCTAACTTTTTATATATAGGTCTCACTACCTAAGACACACACACACACAGACCAAAGTCATGGACTTGAAGATAACCCCTTTCTTTTTCTTCTTCTTCTTTGCTCATTTAATCTCTGTCACCAAAGCCCTAGACCCTTGTGCCTCCCAATCGGACGGCTCACAAGACCTCTCCATCATTCCCACCTACAGCAAATGCTCTCCCTTCAGCCCACCCAAGGCAGACTCTTGGGTCACCACAGTACTCAACATGGCCTCCAGAGACCCAGCAAGGGTCAATTACTTGTCAACCCTAGTGGCCCAAAAGACCACTTCGGCTCCAATCGCTTCGGGCCAGCAGGTCCTCAACATTGCCAACTACGTGGTCCGGCTCAAGCTCGGTACCCCGGGCCAGCTCATGTTCATGGTCCTCGACACTAGCAATGACATTGCTTGGGCCCCGTGTTCCGGGTGCACTGGGTGCTCCTCTACCACCTTCTCGACCAACTCTTCGACCACTTACAAGTCGTTGGATTGCTCCGTGCCTGAGTGTGCCCAAGCCCGGGGTCTCTCATGCCCGGCCACTGGGTCTCCTGGAGCCAATGGATGCTTCTTTAATCAATCGTACGGTGGAGATTCATCATTTTCTGCTACCCTTGTACAAGATGCTTTGAGATTAGGCAATGATGTTATTCCAAAATACTCTTTTGGATGCATCAATTCCATCTCGGGTGGGTCTGTCCCGTCCCAAGGGTTATTGGGCTTGGGTCGTGGATCCATGTCACTACTCTCACAATCTGGGTCACTCTATTCCGGTGTGTTTTCATATTGTTTACCGAGTTTCAAATCCTACTACTTTTCCGGATCACTTAAACTTGGCCCAGCAGGCCAACCCAAATCAATCCGAACCACCCCACTTCTAAGAAACCCGCGCCGGCCCTCATTGTATTACGTCAACCTCACTGGAATCACTGTGGGCCGGGTTCCCGTACCTATTGCCCCGGAGCTCCTAGCATTCAACCCGAACTCAGGAGCTGGAACCATAATAGACTCGGGTACGGTCATAACTCGATTCGTGCAACCCGTTTACACCGCACTGCGGGACGAATTTAGAAAGCAAGTGCAGGGTACATTTTCATCACTGGGGGCCTTCGACACCTGTTTTGCTGCAACCAATGAAGCTGTGGCCCCAACCATCACGTTCCAATTCACAGGCTTGAAGTTGACATTGCCATTGGAGAACAGCTTGATTCACAGCAGCTCAGGGTCAGTAGCTTGCTTGGCAATGGCTGCTGCGCCTAATAATGTGAACTCAGTGCTGAACGTGATAGCCAACTTGCAGCAGCAGAACCTCAGGATTTTGTTTGATGTTGCCAACTCTGTTGTGGGCATAGCCCGTGAGAATTGTAATTAACTAGGTTTTTTTAGGCCTTTTTGGTGTGTCTTGTCTCTTTGTGCTGTGTTTAAATTTGTCGCGTTGATGCAAAAAATAGGTGGTGTGACTTGTGACAAATAAGAAAAGCAGGATAAGGCCTGCCGGTGTAAGATGTTAATAATTACTATGTGGAAATTTTGGGACGAAAATTGGAGCTTTTGGTTTTGATTGTGACTGCTTGAGCTTTGATAAGGTTTTATCTTGTATGGATGAATGCTCACAAACCAAGCTACTAGCTAGAGTCATGCCAAAGAATGGAAAAATTATTGGGTACTAAACTACATATGGGCCAAGGCATAGGCAATCTTTGAAACGAGTAATTAGACATTCACACATAACGATATAATTGTCGTATTCATTTGTGGATTCTAAATGTGCTCTACAATTTACAATGAGAAAATTGTAACTTTTTAAATTTTAATTTGACAATTATCGTTTATGAGATTTGAACTCAAAATCTCATCAAATTAAATGAAATATATACCGAGTGCAAGAAATTCAAACATAATGCATATCTCAATAAAAGTGTTACTTAGCCCGGCTAAAGCCATTATTCATAGCAAAATTTCTCTCTAGCTATCCTTGAGATGGTGGGATCCCCATATCCAATAGATTCTTTCAACATATGATCATCAAATTGAAAGTAGAGCATGTAAATCCACACAAGATATGACATCTATATAATAAACTTAATAATCATTTTCATATAATTCATAAAATATATATACTATAAAGAAGCTTAATAGATGCCTCATATATTGAAAAGAATTTGAAATTTCTCTCTAGCATGTAACCATGATTTCAATTCATACACATTTTGAGTAGATCTGAATCTTGATCCACATTGATATACAAGTACAAGATTAAATGAAAGAATTAGCAACAACACAATCTATATGTGTATCTCTGTTTCCTTTTGGTTTGTTTAATAGGAGAACACCCTTCCAACTCTCAGCTGAAACCATCCCTCATGTTACAAACCCATCGTGGTCTTCGTCGTCGTCGTCATAATTCTGCAGAAAGCTTCTTCTTCTTCAGGACGACGAATCATATATAAACTCCAGGTCCATCCATAAAACTAGTACACACCAACATAACAGACGCATAAGAAAAATAATAAAAACAAAACGAAGATTTTACTTGCTTTCTATATCATTACCCCCCTCTCTCTCTCTCTCTCTCTCTCTCTCACCGGCTCAAAACTTATTCTTTTTTGTCTAACCCCACCATTGATGCACCGCAACACCTTCGTCCCGAAGCTGTCCGTACAAAGCCAAGCACTGCCAGTAAGCCCTGCGACTCCTCACATAGTTAGTATTAGTATTACTATTATTATCACCCTTCTTCCCATTTTGCCCCTGTGGCTTGCACTCCAAGAAAAGCTCATCCACCAACTTGATCACTTTGGTGTTCATCATCTCCTCCACTACCTCGGCCTCCGCCTTCATCACCACATACTCCTCCTCCTTCACGTTCTTCTTCAGCCACTCCGACATCCCGGTCTGAACCACCTCCTTCCCGGAGCTCTCCTCCGTCACCGTCTCGATCTTGTACATCTCAAAGTTCTTGTTCCGGGTCGGGTAGTTCTTCGCGAACCAGCCCGTCCCGCTCCCGCCTTCCTTCTCCGGCAATCCTACGTCTATGAACACCCTTCGAGGGTAGCTCTCGAGAGAGTCACCCATCAAATCCGGGAGATACCTTGTTCGCTTCAAGTACCTTCTCGATTTCAAGGACGAGGCTCTTGGGGGTTCGAGAAGCACGTCTTCTAGATTCTTCAAGGCTTCCTTCTTTGCCTCCTCGACTAAGAGCCGTCTCCGGGTGGGAGAAGTCGTTTCGGATGCCTTTCCGGTCTTCCTCATGGCCAAAACGGTCGCGTCGAACCGCCTCAAGTACACCATCTTGTAATTCTCAGGCTTCTTGAAGCCGCTGGCGGGGTTGTCGCTAAGCTGAAGCGCGACGATCCCGCCAACTTTAAGGGTCCTTTCGAGGAATTTAGAGGCGGTGGGGAAGGAAGAGACGAAGGCGAAGTCAATTGAGTTGTCAGGGATTGAGCTTTGTTTTTCAGCGTCGATAAGCTCCATCTCATTAACGTCGAGGATCTCTGATCTCTTGACAGCCTCTTCGTCTCGGCGGCCGCTCACGAAAACAGCCTTATGCGTGCCTCTCTTGAACAGGCCTTCGTTGGCCAAGTCGCGGAAGATCAAAGGTAAGCTCCATCTCATTAACGTCGAGGATCTCTGATCTCTTGACGGCCTCTTCGTCTCGGCGGCCGCTCACGAAAACAGCCTTATGCGTGCCTCTCTTGAACAGGCCTTCGTTGGCCAAGTCGCGAAAGATCAAAGGCAGGAGCCCGATATTAACGGGGCTCATGACGTCAGAGGTAGTTATTTCAGGAGAAAAAGTGGTTGCGGTTGAAAGGAGGGAATTCAAACACGGCAGCGAGACTATGCAGAGAGCCAGAATCAAAGAACGGCTAAGGATCATCAATGCTCTAGAGTCTGGGATCCGAATAACCAAGTACTTGGCATCCGGGTACAACCCGATCGAAGCAGCGTGTTTCGGGTGGTGCTTGGTGCGGAAACCTTGGACCAAGTTGATGGCCATTGTCGCAAAATTTGGGAATTTCTAAGTAGTTAATATGAAAGATTATATTTTGATGACAAAAGAGAGAAGAAATTTGATTTTTTTGGTAGGGCAGAGAGGGAGAGGGAGAAATAGCACGGAGAGGCAAAATACTTAGCGGGTGCAAAATCGGGCGGCGGTGTGGTTCCCACCCACGAGGGCCACGCGGTTGCTTTGTATTCTAGACCATAACAACATCAGCTGCCTCATCCTCTGCACCTCCATTTCTCTTTAATTTTTCCCAGATCAGTGGATGTGATTCTTCGCTTACTTGCTCATCCTCGTCATAATTTATACATTTAAATTAGCGAGACATTGCGAAAACCACACCACACCGATCAGAGATTCATGGAAGGAGGACTACAGAGGGAGGTGTTTGTATTTTTTTTTTTTGGGTTTTTTGTTTTTTTGTTTTTTTTTTGTTTTGGAGGGTCAAGAGGGAGAAGAATTGGGGATGGGGTGCTGGAGGAGATGGCTAGGGAGGGAAGAAGAATATAAGGGACACGTTACAGATAGATTTTGAAAGAGAGAGAGAGAGAAGCGAGAGGTCTCAAAAGATGGATGGAGCTAAAGTTTGTTTGGTGGAGAAAAAAATGGTTCGGTGGCACGAGAAATGAGTTTGGCCATTGATTTTATGTTTCATGCATGTTTATATGTTATTGCATGGAGTGTAATTTCCCCTACGAAAGCGCTCATAAGGGTTTGTTTGTTGTAACATACAAAGCGACTTTTGGGTTGGTATTGCTTCACTTTAGCTAAAACTCATTTAAATTTCTAATTAAGATTCTTATTAAACTTGTTTGTTGTATGGCTTCTGAGGTGTCTTCTATACCAAACATGTTTTATTATGAAAGACACAACAACAAGTTGGTGGGGATTTTGGCTCTCAAAATATTTTTAATGCCTTTACCTGTCACTAGAGTTTTATTCTTTTCTTTTTATAAATACAAACGATAATCTAAATTCATCTAATCTACACTATTTTGTGGGGCAGGAGGGATTCGAATTTGGGTACAAGGACCAACTGGTCTAACCCATGTATGCAAAAGAGTTTTATTCTAATTACGAAGAAATCATACACATGTTCCAATTTGAAGAAATAAATATTGCTTTCCACAGTTTACCAAAAAACCTGAGTTACAGAAGCTGGAAGCTTTGATGCTTCTTAAACAAAAGACATTAAAAAAAACAAACACAGCAATAAATTTAACGTTAAGTTGCTCAAATTAAGCCACCAGTGTAAGGCACACCAGTTTGAGGCAACCAATTATCCCCCAGCAAGAAGTTGGAAACTGTGAAATTCGCAGCGTCAGTTGAATTGATCACATGGTAACCAGGCCATGTAACCCTATTGGCAGTGCTGGATCCAGGACCTGTGTTATTGTACTCAGCATAATACAATGTGCTCAGTGCAAAATCACCACTCCAATCATGCCAACCAGCAGGATCTATAAAACTATCCATGAAAGTTTGCATGTAAACTGTTCTTGAATATTCCTTCCACGGCCTTCCTAGATAGGTCTTGACAGTGAAGTTACTTGAGGCCAAATCGGCTGCTGGTTTAATAGTGCAGTTGTGAATTGAGGTCCCTGTGTTCTGGTTCGGGTCGGTTCGACCTTGAGCAGTGATGGGATTGAATTGCCCTTGGTTAGGCTGACGAGGATAAATGTTGCAGTTTTGGAAAACAACAGCAGCATTACCAAATATGAAATCAACTGTTCCATAGATATCACATTCTCTGTAGAATTGTCTGAGAGAATGCGTGTATAAGGTGTCTTGGTAGCCTTCAAAGCTGCAGCTATAGAAAACTGACAAATCTGCCCCGCTTCGGAGTGCAACTGCTTGCCCTTTGCTTGGTCCAGCCGTGTTACGAACAGTAATGTTCACTGCCATAAACCCTTCTGCCACCACAGCTGCAATATTGATAATGAAGTTAATTAGCTTATTAATCATCAATAAATATTTGCAATTGTAAACATTTAGTTTTTTTTTTTATATATAAAAAGTCTAAGATAATCTAATATGTTGTCATACTATAAATTGGAAACCATTGTTAACAGACTTTGGAATCAAATCAAACCACTAATGTTTTTTGAATTAATTATGTCTGAATGTGCTGTTCTGAAAATGACGTTTTTAGTATGAATGTTTGAATTAACTCACCTAAAGTAGCAGAGTTGAAAGTTGTCGAGCCATCTCCTACACTGTTGTTTCCTGTGATGATTGTCTGGTTGATACCGTCTCCGATGAACAACAGATACTTCTTTTTCGATATAATTGACACATACTCTTGATATACACCGGCAGTGATATATATCAAGAAGTAGCCATCACTAGCAACAGAGTTATTTGGTGCGATTGCTATGGCCTCATTGATGGTCGTGAAGTTTCCACTTCCATCTTGACTCACAACCACAATGTCCTTCACCAAAACCTCTTCATCTCCTACCTGAAGAAGCCTTCTTCTCCGATGATTGATAGCAGCGTCATAAATTGCGCGAGCGTGGCTTGACATCTTCAGGTTCAACCGTCCCTTTCCGAACCTGAATTGCCTCTTGGGTCGCTTTGGCACCCCACTTTTGTCCTTAGGCACCCAACCCTTGGTGAACAGAGCCAAAGAGACACTGTACAACTTTGTGTTGTTAGAAATTGGAACCGACAGATCACTGATGGCACTCCCAGCTGAAGATGGCAGAGATTCAATCCCATCAGAACAAGTTTGGTGGTTGGTTAAAATGGCACTAAGCAAGGTTTGGGCATCATCAGCATCCAAGCTAGAAAGAACACCACTTGTCTTGTTGACAGTTTGGAGGGAGCTTGATAAAAAATCAATGTTTGACAATGCAAGCAGCTTGCAATCCTCAAGTGCTTGGATTGCTGGCTGTGGCAAAGCTGAGCTACTTTGAAGATAATTTTCAATTGAATCAAAGAGCTTATGGGATTGGGAAAGAGCATGTTGGACTGAAAACCTGCCAAAGTCATAGACATTGGCATTTTTGTGGGGAAGAACAGATATGCAATAAGATGGGTGTGGGGTGGATTTGCAGATTGTTTCTGGTGGGAGAGGAGTGTTTAGAGGGACATCTGCTAAAGACGGAGAGCTAAGGAGATTGAAAATAATGAGAAATGATGAAAATGTTACAAGAGAAAAGAGCTTAGAAGCCATTGCTCTAATTAATGGAGAAGGCAGAGCTTTTGAGGAATGTGAAATAGGGTCACGGGGTTCGTATCTATATATAGAAAGTGATCGAGCCAATTTGACTATTGTTTTAGAGAACATAAAGTTGGTATTGAATTTCATAAAGTAAACGTGCACGACTTTATCCAAAGGAAAATGCAGTATAGAATTGAGATTGATCCTATTAATTTCTTGACAAGGAAGAGTGGGGGCTATGGCAGCTGTCACGCATATGTCAACCAATATAGAACGATCCAATTAAACGTGGTTTTATATGGTACTCCTTGTCTCATTCCCCTTAATGAGATACTTACAAAAAGAAAAAACGAAAAACTTCTGCACAAATATCCCATTGCTATTGGCAGAAATGTAGCTCCTACTTATACGGTAAAGAGGGAAGTATTTTCCTATTATCCTTTTAATAATGCAAGCTAAACAACCCATTTAGATCATATATTTGTCACGAGACTCAATATTGAGTGGCGTAACAATCCAATAAGAAAATAATTATGTGTTCAAATTTAATAACAAGTAATTATTTCTTAATCACATGTTATATTTAACTAGCAAAAACAATCTCATGTAATTTTTCCTAAACGAACAAAATTAATTTTTACGAGATGAATCATTATGTCCGCGATTTATTTCGCTTTTGTCTTCCCACTGTCGTATCATATGTCATTTGTCAACGTTGGGGTTGGTAATGTGCGCCTACTGGAATATTGGTCATCATGTACATGTCCAAAACCTATGAACATGAGAATATATAAATAATATTATTTTATTTTTGGTTGAAGACAAATATATATATATTCAATAATATTTTTGTTGGTTGTATGGCAGGGAGTTTCTACCTATATATTATTTAATTTGCTTAATATTCCGGAGGTTAGGGTGGCCTAATTTGAAACCAAAAAAGAAAAGATATGGAATTTATTAGGTGAAGATCTATATGGGTTCAATTCTCTGCATAAGAAGTTTCAGAGAGATAACGCGTTAGGCATAGGCATGCATGTAGTCAACGTACACGACCTACATGATGTATGAGCACCGCAAGACATCAGACCCAATCTTTCTGCACCTACCAAATGCAAATATTTTATGATAACTACGCATTAGATCTGAGGCTTAACCAAACGACCGACCTTCCCCCGTAAAGCCTATCATCAGTTATTATTACTTGCTGTGTTGTATACAAACCCACTCTAATTTGACTGAATACCAAAGCAAGAAGAATTAAGCATGTGATTTTCTCAGATTATTAGTTAACTAAATCAGAGTTTAACAGGTTGGGTTTGCAAAATAAAAAGTCAGAACTCAAAATTCAGAAACAATATGTACATATATATGTGCTCGTGACAAGCACTCTAGCTAGCTGTGATCAGTATAGAACATCAAGTGGGAATATAGAACCATGAATGTAGAACTAAAAAATAAACGGTTTTCGATTTATCTAATTTTTTACAAGGATGATCTATATGAAACCAAAAAATAGATAGTTTTGGATCGTTGAAATTTTTTTGTAAAGGACCCTAAATGGTGTCTCTCAAATAAAATTATTTAAGGGATCCCTCAATAAAAGGAACTATATATTTCCACTTGATGATCTTGATTAATGATTTAAATGTCAAATTGAAGTAAATTTAATTTAAGAAATCTGTAAACGCGTGCATATGATAACCTAGTGAACAAAGTCAACCCAGAAATTGATAAGTTTGGACGAATCAACTTATAAGAAAGGAAAAATATATATATATATATATATTTGGACCAAATTAGTGTAAATTAGTTGAGGTTTAATGTGGGCAACATGTAGTGGTGAGTGTGCATGTGATTAAGTTTCGTAAGGGTTAATTGATAATGTGGTTAGTTTAGATGTATTGAATAATGATCATGTAATGAACCTAGTGGTTGATCATTCATTATGAAGATTATATAAAAGTCATATAGGGGATGAGATGTTGGACATATCAACCGGCCAAATTAAACCAATTAGACCAGTTTGGTTCGGTTTTAATATATAGAGAAAGTGTGACTTTGAGGAAAATTGAATATAGGATACCTCGAGTACATGAATAGATATTTTTAATCACTTGAATTATGACAGTTCTTTGCTATGAGAGTTCTTTTAAGTTTTCATATCCAGTAGCCACGTACGAGCCAATATAATGGATTTTGGCTTAATTAAGCAGTTTTGTTTGGTGGCTAATGTGTATGAAGCAAGTAAGAATGTTTTAATCTGACCAAAAAAATTAAAACAAAAGAAAAACGGTTTCATTAATATGTCTTCGTCAATTTATCAAAATTCAAA